ACGAAGTAAACATGGAGATATGGATCCACATGAAACTGTTGTCTATGGCCCTTCCACCTCTAATCAGGTAAATTTTCTATTTAATTGCTAAAATTTATTTTTTATTTCATTTTCTACACATACTTTTTCAAACTGGCACATACTCAGCAGCAATCATGCAAGCCTTTAATATTGATTATAGACCCAATGTACTTAATCACGGACAAGATTTAATTTCAATTCAATTTTTTTTCATATCATTAGCACTGATGAAGATCCGGGCTTACGGATCGAAAGCTTTGCAGTAATAAATTTACGTGGTGTTTCCACAAACAATAGTATTATATGTTTAATCACCATGCAAACCTACAAAGAACTAATTACTCACCTGGGACACCTGTGCCCGGGCTCTATAGAGCATCTTGTTAAGGTTTAATTTTATGCTGCTTTATTACTTTAAGATTGAAAGGTGGTGGAAGGAGTTACATGAAAGAATGGAAAAGTATTTCAAAGGTCATTTGAGATTGCTTAAAGATCAAGGTCACTATGATCCACATAATGAGACCGACAGGTAAAAATATTAACATTTTTAGTGGTACTGCACCCAAGTGTGTCCTACTTTGTTGTTTTACTCAGTTTAACACAAGACAATGAGAAAATTTGCTTGTCAAAGGGATAATACTGGTTCTTAATGGGTTTGCTTGAAAAATAATACACACCCCTTGACAAATTATGACATTGGGTCATTCCAGAAAGCATCCATATATCTCCCTCACAGAGGGAATTGGAAGTTAATTAACCCCCCAACATGTACCCCCTTCTTATTGTATGTCCTAAGATACATACTAAATTGTTAGAAACAAAATTCTCCACTTCCCCCCTTCTGGATGGCAGAAGTCAGAGAGTTTGGCAAAGACAGCGGCAACATGGTCATCAACATAGCATTGATCCTCGTAGACAAAGGTGAATGTAAATTACATGGTCTTTAAAGCATTGTGCAATGCCATAGTTGATGAAACTAGTGTGTGATTTGCATCATTTTCATGGTGCATGACTACGGCAACAGTTAATACTTAATTCATTCAATGTTATTTGAGGTGTTTTATTTGAATTCGCGGACTATTTTTATTCATCAGGGCTGTTTTAGAGGAGCAAGAATACTTAAAGAGGCAAATTAAGTGTAGTAACATATACTTTGGCTGAAATACAATAATATAAGCAATTATATTAGCAATTATATTTTTTCGCCATTGTCGTTGCCGTTCTAGGTTGCCAAGTTCTCTATCACCTCCTTGGGGGGAGGACAAGTTTACTCATCAAAAGGAGACTGCTGTCAAAGTGTTAAGACAAGCAATATTGGTTCACTTGTCAAATTGGTCTAATTTTGGATAAGTTCTTAATTAATTAAATTATTGACCTTAATTTTATTTATGTTTCAAGAATGCTTCTATCTTTTGTTATGATACCATTGGTTCAGAAAGAACTGGATATTTTTCGAGAGACTGTGTGGAACACTCATAGAATAAGAGCACAAAAGGATGCAGTATTGCCAAGTGGGATTCCTAACCACATTTATAGCTTTCCAGATGAGTATGGTCTCGAAGAATGTGGTAAGTTGTGCCCAGCTGTATGTACCTTATTATTCTACTCTGTCTAATGCCACATGAATTTTCTTGTGAAGGATAGAGTCATGCACACTAAAATCGTACATTGCAGCTTAGACACCAGATCAATATAGAGTTATCTAACTTGCTTGCAGCTAAAAAAGCTATTTATAATTACGAAGTGCAATCAATTTGAGCAATAAAGAGAGAGAGAGGGCAGCATATATGGAGCCAAGGGTGGATTTTCATATTTTTCTCTGGGGGGGAGGGGGGGGTGCAAAAATTTCAGGGGGTGGGGGTGGGTGGCAATGATCTTGTGCAGGGGCGGATCCAGGGTTTTTGATGACCGGTTACTAGGTTCACCCAACTATGCTCCCCCCCCGGATTTGGGGCTCTGAAACAGCATTTCCTGCATTCTGGCGTTACTTTTTAAATTAATTTTATTAATGATTAGAAAATGCATGTTTTGAAGTGAATTATTTTTTACTAATATGCAGCTCAAACAATGAATTGAACCTTATCTGAAGTGTATTAGCTAGTGCCTAGTGATAAAAATATAGGATCCGCCAACTGCTGACACATCGATTTAGATCTACACGCTTTCAATCCAACTCTAACGACGAACTAAAAGCCAAACGGCAAGAGCGTGAATGCTTCCCAATCATTTCCTGATTCTCAATTGCCAAAGCAATGATCAGTGGGTCTAAATACGCTCAGTAGTCCATAATCAAATTTCAATAATAGATTAGACAACATCCATTTTATGAAACAGAATATCCTTTAAATTAGTTATATACATTATTACATGGAAGGTTACAGATTTTCTTTCTTTGGAAAATCTGACAGGTTTATGTACCATAGACGGATTTTCTGGGGGGGTGGGGGTGCAGGGGGGTGCTACCCCCCCAATATTAGCTATAACCCCCCCAAACAAAATGTCCACCCCTCCAAAAAAATTTTCAACCCCCCCCCAACATTCGGCATAATAAATAAATAGTCCACTCCAACGTGCAGAGTGTTGATGATACAAAATAAATGTAGGAGTACGCTCAAATAGAAAAAAACAGTGCAACACTCTGAAACTAATCGCTCCTCGCTTGCATTCACTGGTTTATTGGAGCAATTGTAACGTTTTGAAACTCTATTTATTATCTTCCCTGAATAGAGTTTGCAGTGCCTTGTCATGCGAATAGCTTGCACACAAGGAACGTTTGGAATTTTTACGAACACTATTTTTAGTTTTTAATTCTTTTAGGAAATAGAGTTGCCTAGATTTAATCTTTACGCCCCAAATATTATTTACATCGGAGTTAGATCATAAATTGTACTCGGATTCAAACAACACAATGTCAATGATTTTATAAAAGTAAAAGCATATTGTGTATTGGCCTATTGGGTTTACACTTTTACAGGTTCATTTCACTTTAAGTCTTTAACTCTTCAAGTCTCAACAGACAATCGGACATGCCAAATCCATTGATATGACAAATTGACCACTTCAAAAAACATTTTTCGAAGCTAGGAATCATGATTTTTTTCAAATTTTTGCTGGGATCATAGACGGATTTTCATATTTTTTACTGGGGTGGTGCCAGAAATTTTAGGGGGGTGAGCCGTGAGCAGGTGACTGAAGCAAGACAAAGTGTCACCAAACCCCAGTAAGGTCTATATTCTAGGGGTGGAGCACTAGAGCCGCGAGGGGGAGTCTAGAGAGCGAAAAACAAAGTATCCCAGCAAAAATTTGAAAAAAATCATGATTCCTAGCTTCGAAAAAAGTTTTTTGAAGTGGTCAATTTGTCATATCAATGGATTTGGCATGTCCGATTGTCTGTTGAGACTTGAAGAGTTAAAGACTTAAAGTGAAATGAACCTGTAAAAGTGTAAACCCAATAGGCCAATACACAATATGCTTTTACTTTTATAAAATCATTGACATTGTGTTGTTTGAATCCGAGTACAATTTATGATCTAACTCCGATGTAAATAATATTTGGGGCGTAAAGATTAAATCTAGGCAAGTCTATTTCCTAAAAGAATTAAAAACTAAAAATAGTGTTCGTAAAAATTCCAAATGTTCCTTGCGTGCAAGCTATTCGCATGACAAGGCACTGCAAACTCTATTCAGGGAAGATAATAGAGTTTCAAAACGTTACAATTGCTCCAATAAACCAGTGAATGCAAGCGAGGAGCGATTAGTTTCAGAGTGTTGCACTGTTTTTTTCTATTTGAGCGTACTCCTACATTTATTTTGTATCATCAACACTCTGCACGTTGGAGTGGACTATTTATTTATTTATTTTTGGAGGGGTGGACATTTTGTTTGGGGGGGTTATAGCTAATATTGGGGGGGGGTAGCACCCCCCTGCACCCCCCCCAGAAAATCTGTCTATGGCTGGGATACTTTGTTTTCCGCTCTCTAGACTCCCCCTCGCGGCTCTAGTGCTCCACCCCTAGAATACAGACCTTACTGGGGTTTGGTGACACTTTGTCTTGCTTCAGTCACCTGCTCACGGCTCACCCCCCTAAAATTTCTGGCACCACCCCAGTAAAAAATATGAAAATCCGTCTATGTTATGTACACCTGTCAAACCTGTCTGAATCCATTGTCAATGTGCGAGCGTGAACTTATTTTTTGTAAGTGTGTTTTACTTTTACGTTAATATGCTGCAAAAAAGCATATGTAGAAACATGTTGATTTTAATATTTCTATCTTACTTAACGGTAGTTTAATTTAATGCTTTTAAATTTTGGCAGGGACGGGGTGCACAATTTCTCGGGGGGGGGTGGAAAATTTTTTGGGGGGTGCGCACCCCCCAGAAAATCCGTCCTTGTATGGAGCACATATGACCATTCTGTAACCTTTACATAGTACCTTATTTTACAGGCCTAAAAGTAACTGAAGAACAGCTGAAGGAGGCAGCTACCCTATCTGGCATTTTGCAAGTACCAGATGACTATTTGGAGCCAAATGTTAGAGCAGAATGTGAAAGACTGATCCCTGATCATGACACAATCAAACCAAATGAATGCCAAGATGCATACGTATACTTGAAACAACATTATAATAGTTAATTTTAACATGTCAATTTTAATGTTCTTTATAATAGATGTCTATAGATGCATGTCTGTGCAATCAAGATATGGAAGATGACTTCCTTGATGCCTCATTTAGAAGATGTGAATTGCTTCTACCAAAAACAGAAAAAATAGAACCTAAAGATTGTGCATCTGCATTCATATATCTCAAAGAAAACTTTAACACAACATTGTAGATGCTACATATAGATGTAAACTAAATTTAAATTCGTTTTGTAAATACAGATTTAAACCAAGTCCTTAGAAACATGGTGGCAACCAGTCTGGTTAAGTTCTTAATTTAAAGTAGTTCAATAACTTCTGAAAATTGATTTGATGTTTGTTGTTCTCATGTAAAGTTTAAACAAAAACAATCCTGGATGGATGGAAAGAAAAACAAATGGTGATCAAAGTTTGTTCGTTCACTGCAACCAGGTATATCAACCATGTTCTCGCTTGCTACTCCGGTTTAAAAAAATGATTACAAAGCCCAGTCGAATTGTAATCAAGACCCAACATTTCGACACTCCAGTCTAGTGTCTTCAGGGGTGATCTGAAGTTACAATCGTTGGCTTCTTAAACACCCAAGGGATGACGTCACCTGCCAATGAGATGCATGTATCCCTCTGGTAAATAGGCACCGTCATCCCTATTCAAAGCATGATTACTCATATTTATATGCCATGCTTCTAGGCATAGTCTTTGACTAGTGTGGCATATAAATGAGTAATCATCCTTTGAATAGGGATGACAGTGCCTATTTACCAGAGGAATACATGCATCTCATTGGCAGGTGATGTCATCCTTTGGGTATGTAAGAAGCTACATTGCAATTTTAGATCACCCCTGATGAAGACACTAGACTGGAGTGTCGAAACATTGGGGTTTGATTACAATTCAAATAGGCTTTGTAATAATTTATTTAAACCAGTGTAGCAAGCAAAAACATAAATGGTGATCAATCTTTATTGCAAACACTAGTCACCAAAAGTGGTAAAAGACATTGGACCTACTATGTCTTCCAACTGTTAATTTAAGACTTAAATTAAATTGCCCAATGTGTTCATAAAAGTTTTTTATTATAACCTGGTGTTAAACAGATGCTTGCCCAGTCACTCTTTGCTACCACATTACTAGGGATGCGATTTAAAGTCTGATATGTTCTTAAAAGACATTAATGAATCTTCTAAGAGTAACTAACAGATAATGTCGATAATATCAAGTTTTAGGTGTCCTTGTTATACACCAAACTGAAATAAGAACAATGTTTTAAAGATACATCATTACTTTCCCCTAACAGCAGTTTGTGTATTCTTTCTATACAAGTACTTTAAGCTTCAGAAGCTCACAGTACTCATTACATCTATGAATGAGTTTAAATTTTGCAATTGCTTCAAATCACAAATTCCCTGTGGTAAAAAGTAATTCTTTATTTTCACCAAAGAGGGAAGATGATGCAACTTCTGGGTCTACAAGGGAGTAGCCACATCCTTGGATATCTAACACCATTACCTGATTGTTGGATTTTTCAAAAGAAAAATGAGAAAGACACTCTGCTTTCTGTAATATAACTTCGTTGACATTCTTGCACAATGTGCCATCATTGTTTATATACTTACTAAACTCTCCATCTACAAACTCTTCAACTGTGACAAATTCGTCACCTTTCTTTCCTAAGTAGACACTCCCATAATGGAAACAATCACCAAAAGATTCTTGCATGACATTTTGCTCAACACTTGTCTTCAGTTGGCTTGCAAAGTTCTGGGCTAAGCTGTGCATTTGTACAACCTTTGTATGGGTTTCGAGAGTTTGATTGGTCTCAGCAATGACATCCAATGCATTTTCATTATATTCTTTGACTACCCATGAACCAGCAAAGCTCTCATCTTTTGATTCTGCTTTATAAGCTTTTCGGAATGCACCTTCTCCGAGCACATCTTCTGAAACACTAAATTCAACTGCCCTTGGTGAAGACGACCAGCTCATATCTGCCAAATTAAATCCATACAAGTGGATGGTAGTGGTAGACTTGTTTATAAGTTTACCTAGTTTCAACATATGGGTTACCGAGAGACTCTTGGGCATTGGTGTTGAGATTTTAGCTTTTTTTGGACTTGGAACAGAGTTAGAGCCCTTTCGTTTCACAGTTGTGCTTTGCGGATGAACTGCGTCAGTATCATCAACGAATACAGGCGCATCTGCTGTCGAGCTTTTGTTTATGAATCTGACGTATATAAGATTCATATTAGGTATTTGTTTCAAGGATGCGCAGGAAGGTCCTTGCCCACCGGCAAGAATATCACATACAACATTGTTTCCAACCTTCGGTTCAAAATGTTTCAGGCATGCATCCTTCACTCGTTCAATTGTCATCTCTTCTTTTGTATAAAATCGATCTAGATCTTCATCGTCGTCGTCATATAACTGGACAAATTCCCTTGGGCCGATACGTGAATACTTTTGGGCCTTGCCCGACACGTCCGCGCTTAACATTTGAACTGTTATTTCACGTTTGGAAACATCTTTCCCTTTTTGGCTCTTCCCACTCAAGCGCGTTTTTTTTTCATATCTTCTTTGAACTTTCGCCATTTCTCCGCCATGTTGCCTTCCGCGCGGGCAAAGGTTCATGGGATGTTATGATAGCGCTCGGCCACTGCTCGGTCACTGCTCGGCTCATGGGAATTTCTCTCGGGTCGCTGTGCATTATGGTAGTGGCAGCCCTCGGCCATGGTGAAATTCACTTTTACTTTGTAATTTTAATTGTAAATCAGTATTTTGTATTTCATTTTAATTTACTTTTATTTTTCATTTTAATTTATTTTTATTTTTCATTTTAATTTATTTTTATTTTTCACTTTAATTAAAAAAAAATTATACAGAATATTTTGGTAGTGGCAGCCCTCGGCCATGGTGAAATTCACTTTTACTTTAATTTTAATTGTAAATTATTTTCTATTTCATTTTAATTTATTTTGTATTTCATTTTAATTTATTTTGTATTTCATTTTAATTTATTTTTATTTTTCATTTTAATTAAAAAAATAAAAAGTAAAAAAATCTTTAAAATAATGTAAAATGTACAAAAAAAACGAGTGGCAACGCTCGGCCACCATACTCTAGAACATTTTCCTCTTAACATATTACAGAGTGTACAATTACACAACTAACATATATATATATATATATATATATATATATATATATATATATATATATATATATATATATATATATATATATATATATATATATATATATACGTATATAGTTAATTTTGAGGCAACGAGAGGATATGTGATTTATTCACCGAGGCGCGCAGCGCCGAGGTGAATAAACATATATCCCCGAGGTGCCTCAAAATAACGTACTTATTTTTCACACTGCGAGGTCGCGTTAATGAGTCAGAATAGAAATAATTCTTAATGCCATATTGCCTTCGTTATATTGGTTTTTTCCCCATTTTTTTTGCTGCAAAGACATTGCAGGTGAATATTAGAGGGGATTATTAATTGCAGGTGAATATTAGAGGGGATTATTAAACGGAAATTGATTAGAGGGGAATATTGAATATATTCCCCGATAAGAACAAAGGAAACCGAGCAGGGTGAAAAATAATTACAAATATTCCAGCACTGTCACGCCCATTAAGTATCATTAATACATTTCCTGATTTACCATATTCTGAATATCAAACTGTCTCCTATTATGGACCATTGCAAGCGGAAGAGGATATAGCTTTATTCATGAAACACTACCTGTTAGGAATCCAACGATGATTGAAGGGGAAACTAGAGACCAAAAGGATAATGCAAAGTGGTTTGATATGAGAAAAAATAGAATTAGTAGTAGCAATTTTGGGTGAGTGTGTAAGCGTAAGGATAATATATCGCAGGAGAAGCTGGTTGAATTAGTGAATGGAAAGGATATTTCTCATATTCCTGCTGTAAAGTATGGTATCGATAATGAGAGTAATGCTGCAAGTATATATATATATATATATGCAAATTATATGCAACCTTTGCAGATTCTGGATTGTGGTGTAGTAATAAGCCCCAAAATGCCCTGGTTATGTTCTTCACCTGACAGAAAGGTAATTGATAGGGATTTTGGGTTTGGGCTCATGGAAATTAAGTGTCCATATACTTTAAGAAACCTCAGACGTCTGAAGATGCATGTAGGGACCCAAGTTTTTATTGTGAAATAGTTGAAGGCAAACCCAGATTAAAACGCAAACATGATTATTATTATCAAATTCAAGGCCAACTTGGAATTTGTGGTCTTGCATGGTGTGATTTTGTGGTGTTTTTCAGAAAGGCATTATAATTGAAAGGATTAAATTTGACAATGAATTTTGGAATAAAATGATTGCACAGTTAACTGTTTTTTATCATGTACATATGTTACATTATTTATTGAAGTAATAATTGTAAAATTTAAATATGTACATACAATAATGCACTGTAAATGTTAATCATTGTAAATGTAAATAATTTCAATCTGTAAATACAGTAAATCGAATTCAAATGCAAAAAAAACTGAATTATTAAAATAACGATCAATTTTATATACATACTGTCTGCATAAAATGTCTTGCATGCTGATTTGAGAACTCAATCGAACCACGGATCGAACACCAGATATGTAAACCTCGATGTAAAGGCACTACTGTATGCATCCATGCTATTTTAAATCATTTGTTTGATATTTCATGGAGATGCACATCAGCAAATGTTATTCGGGTTGCATAAAATGTCTAAAATCTGATCCATATAAAAGATCCAGACCTAAACGTTAATTAATTCTAATCGACGTAATCGTAAATCTATAAATCGCGCTAGAAAATGCGGCATTACCAGTAAAGCGTGGTTACAAATTGTTTATGTCAAGAAATTATTGGGTTTTGAAACAAAGTAAGCAAAGCACACACTGTCCATAACTGATTTACAGTTCCAGCCAAAGTTAAAGGTATAACCAGTGGCGTAGCCAGACAGGTACAGCTATAACCAGTGGCGTAGCCAGACCTTAATTTTTTTTTTTGGGGGGGGGGGGTCGAACAGTCTAGG